TAGTAGTATATTTCTTTTTACAATGCATGTTAACTGTAAACACTGATACAATTTTGATAAAACTATATATATATTTATTTTTTAACTTGGAGAAGTCTGGTAAATGTCAAAATTAGACCAATCTTACTCTTTCCTCCCACTAGGTGTCAGTATTTGTCACATTAGCAGTTTTTGAACATGTTGAACGTGGTCAGTGGGGCCGATGGTGCAGATTGGCAGCCTCGCTTCCATCAGTCTGCCCCAGGACGGCTGCGGCTATAGTCAAAATAGTAGCTTACCATCACGTAGTATGGAGTGAGTGAATAATGCAGTGTGTGTCTTGCAAGGAGCTATCATTTGATTTATTTATTATATTTTTGTATCTCCAACACTACAAGATTGGCGTATTATTATTAATTTACATACAATTTGAAAGTCTTTAGAAATTACCGGTTCCATTGAGTCTTTCTTTATTTGGCTTTTTACATTTACAAATATTGAAGTTTACCACTGACAAAATGACTATAAATCAAAATTATCCCCAAGAAATGATTCCAAATGTGTAATATAAAAAAAGGAAAAAAAAACAAAAAAAACACGAACTGCAATAAATGAATAAATAAAGCACAGAATGAAACACTAATACAAGTAGTCTGTTTGTATCTGTAATGAGTCATAGATGTGATGGATTCAACCATCCACAGCTCAAATCTAATCAAAGAATCGTAAAATCCCCATTAGTACAAAGAAAAAGTCCCGCTGATAAATTTAAAACCCCCAAATAATTGTTCCATCTAAAAAGTTTGGACTCACCCTTTCGTTCAGTGTTTTTTTTCCTTTATCGTAAGTACTTTCAAGATCTCAAATATATAACTCTATGATTTTTTTTACACTTTATATTCAAATCCTGAAAGTAGCCACCGTTTGCTTTGTTCAAACATATTTAGTAGAATTATTTAGCTGTTTTTTCACTACATAATTCCATATATGCTACTTATATATGTGTGATGTTGTATGTGTTTATATAAAATGTAGAAAGTGTAAAAATGCAGAAAAAAAAACACTGAATGAGAGTTTTGAATGGTTTAGTCTTGGTGTAGTCCTGGTTCAGTTTTGGTTTAGTCCTGGTTTAGACCTGGTTTAGTCCTGGTTCAGGTTTGGTTTAATCCTGGTTTAGACCAGATTTAGTACTGGTTTAGGCTGATGTAGTCCTGGTTTTGTACTGGTTTAGACCTGGTGTACTCCTGGTTTAGTCCTGATTTAGGCGTGGTTTAGTCCTGGTTCAGTCCTGGTTTAGACCAGATTTAGTACTGATTTAGGATTGGTGTAGTCCTGATTTAGTCCTGGTTCAATCCTGGCTCAGTTTTGGTTTAGTCCTGGTTCAGTTCTGGCTCAGTTTTGGTTTAGTCCTGATTCAGTCATGGTTTAATCCTGGTTCAGTCTTCATTTAGGCCTGGTTTAGTCCTGGTTTAGACCTGGATCAGTCCTGTTTTAGTCCTGGTTTAGTCCTGTTTTAGTCCTGGTTTAGTCCTGTTTTAGTCCTGGTTCATGTGTTGTAGGTGATTATAAATGGCGTTAATGTTAATAATATGATTCTACATCATTTTGAATAAAAACAAAACAAACATCAAATATGTTTGTACTGAAAGTTTTTGTTTATTAAAAAAAAAACCCCAAAAAACCAAAACATCACTGGCTATAATACTTAAAACATTCATCATAATGCAATGTGATATTATTGAAGTTGTAGTGGTAGAAATACTTACATTTGCAGTTAAAAGTACTGCAGTAGTCTCTCTGTACCTCTTTATTTGTCGTCTGTCTTTGTTGAAATCTTGTTATCCCTGATCTTGTGTTTCCTTCCATGAACATCCTCTGAGCTTTTCATTATTAACACAGGGTTGCTTTGATTACACGCTGCTTAATCCTCTCAGATGTGGACCCCGCTGGAAGAATTGGATTAAAGTGTGATTAGCTAAGATCACTTACCCATTCACATCTATTGGATTTGAAAGAGTAGACCTTTTTATATATATGTTTGAACAGAGATCAGCCATAACAATAAGACCACACAGATAGATGAGGTTGTCTTCATTAAAGTTAAAGGTGCAGGGCGAAACTGGAGACGGGATTGCTTTGTCTGAGTATTCCACAATGGCATTTATTTAATTACAGAGTGTTTTATTGAGCAAAAATACAGAAAAAAACATGCATTCTGTGTGTGAAAGGGCTCGGCACAGATCTAACATGTAACTTGATTGAGTGGTGCCACATGATTATCGGCTCGAACGTCCCCCTGGCTTGAAAGTCCCAGCTCGAGTGTCCCATTCTCTTTGCTGGAATGTCCCCCTCATCCCTCCAGGCGCCCATTTCTCTTGGGCGGCACACGGGTAACTGCTGTGCCCGGGAGAGGGGGGACGTTCTCTCAGGTTTTTAGTCGGCTGCGTCATGCTCTGTTATGCATTGAGTTAGAAAATCAGCTTCTGTAACATAATAAAATGAAATGTGAATGTAGTGAGACCTTGTTTATGTCATTTTATCGATCTTCCTGAAGCGATACACATTTTTTCAGTCTGTAATATCAATATAATCCTCATTTGCTCGTAGAAATTTACTATGAAATCATATTTTAAATCATTTTTTCTTGTTCCCCATGTCCTATAACATTGTAACTGTTGATTTGGGAAGAAATATGAATTATTTCCTTACCTGCCATGAACATAATTTGTAAGCAGCGCAACACAAGAAACTTCGAAAGCTACAGAATTTGTTCCAAAATCATTCATAAACACTTTTAGGAAGGTCTTAACTATGTATTTCACTTAAATATGTAAGATAAAATCCTGGAATAGTTGTGGCACAGTTGAGACCACATCATTTTTGAATTTTTTTTTTTTGTATGTAGGAACAAATGTGTTGAGATCTGCTGTAACTTGCGTGTGTACAATATATATAATGTTTTTTGTTGTATATAGATGAATTAACTTAGTTTCATAAAGGGCACAGTTCACGGGGACTTTCCAGCTTGGGGACTGTCCAACTGGTTCCCTGCCACATAGATCAGAAAATAGCGTAATATGGATCTCTTAACGAACATTTCTAAGGCTTATTTTAATTCAGTTTCATTGACAAACTCTAGCTCTAAACTGTAAGTCTGGATTAACTTTATGGAGATGGCTTTTTGGAGACTGATTTTTGTCCTAATGTAACTTGATTTAGTCCTGGTTTTGTTCTGGTTTGGTCCTGGTTTTGTCCTCCTGCTTTCTACCTTGTTTTGCCCTGGTCTAGTCCTGGTTTAGTCCTGGTTTAGTCCTGGTTTAGTCCTGGTTTTGTCTTGGTCTAGCCCTGGTCTAGCCCTGGTCTAGTCCTGGTTTAGTCCTGTTTTTGTCCTGGTTTGGTCCTGGTTTTGTCCTCCTGATTTCTACCTTGTTTTGCCCTGGTCTAGTCCTGGTTTAGTCCTGGTTTAGTCCTGGTTTTGTCCTGGTTTTGTCCTCCTGGTTTCTACCTTGTTTTGCCCTGGTCTAGTCCTGGTTTTGTTCTGGTTTTGTCCTGGTTTGGCCCTGGTCTAGTTCTGGTTTTGTCCTGGTTTGGTCCTGGTTTTGTCCTCCTGGTTTCTACCTTGTTTTGCCCTGGTCTAGTCCTGGTCTAGCCCTGGTTTAGCCCTGGTTTAGTCCTGGTTTAGTCCTGGTTTTGTCCTGGTTTTGTCCTCCTGGTTTCTACCTTGTTTTGCCCTGGTCTAGTCCTGGTCTAGTCCTGGTCTAGTCCTGGTCTAGTCCTGGTTTAGTCCTGGTTTTAGTCCTGGTTTTGTCCTGGTTTTGTCCTGGTCTAGCCCTGATTTAGTCCTGGTTTAAGTCTGGATTCAGCGGTTTTTAGTCCTTGATTTTCAGCCCTTGCTTTGTTCACATGCTTGTCTCCATGGAAACAGACTTAAATGCCATTCCACAGATAAACATATGACATATACTCCATCAGAAAAGTTACACAGTGCATCTTTAAGAGTATATTGTTGTCCATATAAGGAAATTATTCAGTTTGTTTGTATTTTACCCATGATTTTGAGCTGCCGGGGCAACTTATATGTAGAAACGGGGAACTGAAACTTATGCTATTTCTGATTTGTTTATGACCAGTAAGAACAGATACCGTGTCCAAAACAACAAAAAGTACTTTGAGTCTTAAGGGTGCACTGTGTAACTTTTCTGGCGAGGAGTCCTGCTACCTGCTTGTTTCTAAGGAGATGTTATTGGTCTTCCAGGAATGTTCCACAGTATAGCATTAACTTCTCTATCCATGCAGCGTGTTTATCTTGCCATAGATCTGAAGATTGATAAGTTGAAGGCCATACTTCGGAGCATTCCAGGCAAAGCAATAACATCTCCGTGGTGTCATAAAGATGTTATTACTTTGCCTGGAATGTTCCACAGTACAGCATTAAACTTGTAAATTTCCAAAATGACCAGAAAGTGACACAACCAGGCCAAATTACAGATCAGATCACTACTACTCACAGTGAAAATGCATGTTTTTTCTAGACATTTTTTGAGCAATTAAAAACACCTGTAATTGAATGAACGCAATATTGATGTTTTAATGCAATACTGCGGAACATTCCAAGCCAGAAATAACACACAGACCCCCTACAAAAAGTTACATAGCGCAGCTTTAACTCGTAAATGTCCAGGGATGTAACAATAATCTAAATATTGTGATATCGTGTCGTCAAAATCTCTTAATAATATCTTGGGAATTCGAAGTTCCTTTGCTTAAACGCATTTTTTTGTAGAACCAGAAGCTAAGAAACATTGGGAACTACATATCCCATGATTCATTTCAGCGCAGACAACATGAATAAATATGTTTTTACTTGAATTCTTTGGATTATGACGGAAATAATTCACATGAAAATCTTCTCAAGGTATTTTAAAAGTGAAAAAGTGTCCTATCGTACCGAGAGATTTGGATATCTCTATAAATGTGTAATTGTGTGTTAATATATTTTATCTTTCTTTGTTTCTGTGCAGATGCGAGTGGACCCCATCCCAATATGCAGCTTCTGTTTGGGGACGAAGGAGTCGAATCGGGACAAGAGGCCCGAGGAGCTGCTGTCCTGTGCAGACTGTGGCAGCAGCGGTCAGTCAATAACTCTTCTGTTTATGAAGTTTAAAGGTCCTATATTACAAAAAAAATGGACCTGGAATTGTGTTAACAGAGATCAGAAAGTACTGTAATATAAACAAACATTACTGAGGCTTATTTTAATTCACTTTCATTGCCAAACTGTAGCTCTAAACTGTAAACTCTGGATTAACTGTATGGAGATTGTTTACTGCTTTTTGTCCTATTGTAACCTGATTTAGTACTTATTTAGTCTTGGTTTAGTCCTGATTTTGTTCTGGTTTGGTACTGGTTTAGTTCTCCTGGTTTTAATGGTGGTTTTGGTTTTAATCCTGGTTTTGTCTTGTTTTAGTCCTGCTTTATACTTAGTTTATACCTAGTTTAGTCCTCCTGATGTAGACTTGGTTTGGTCTTCTTCTAGTCCTAGTTTAGTCCTGATTTAGTCCTGGTTTAGTCATTAGTTTTAGTCCATGGTTTAGTCCTGGTTTAGTCCTGGTCTAGTCCTGGTCTAGTCCTGGTTTAGTCCTGGTCTAGTCCTGGTTTTGCCCTGGTTTAAGTCCTGGTTCAGTGGTTTTTAGTCCTTGATTCAACCCTGGGCTTGCTCAGGTATAGTGCCGGTTTAGTCCATGGTTTAGTCCTGGTTTAGTCCTGGTTTAGTCCATGGTTTAGTCCTGGTTTAGTCCTGGTTTAGTCCTGGTTTAGTCCATGGTTTAGTCCTGTTTAGTCCTGGTTTACTCCTGGTTTACTCCTGGTTTAGTCCATGGTTTAGTCCTGGTTTAGTCCTGGTTTACTCCTGGTTTACTCCTGGTTTAGTCCATGGTTTAGTCCTGGTTTAGTCCTGGTTTAGTCCTGGTTTAGTCCTGGTTTAGTCCTGGTTTACTCCTGATTTAGTCCATGGTTTAGTCCTGGTTTAGTCCATGGTTTAGTCTTGGTTTAGTCCTGGTTCATTCCTGGTTTAGTTTAGTCCTGGTTTAGTCCTGTTTTAATCACTGCTTTAACCCCGGTTTAGTATCTATTTGAAAGCGACGCGTGTGTAACTTTTAACGCGACAGTTTATTCAGTGTTTAAAATTCCTTGATGATTTGTTCGGGTGACATTTTTCTGCTCATATTTGACTAAAGCGTTGCCGTGGCGCTGGTTTTCATTAGCGGTGGGTGGCACGCAGCTGTTTTACACACGGGGTCCTTTGGGTGACGACTCTCAAACATGGAGCTGCTGTTTCTGCCTCATTAGCATCAAATTATCTGCAATTAGCCGCTCACATGTTTGATCATTCTGCGCCGAGACTCAGGAAGATGTGTGGACACAAGTCGAGTTCAGGACACCGCATATTTCAGATGGTGTTAGGAAATATTATGTTATATTGTCGTTCAAGAAGCTATGATGAGTTCACGGGATTTTTTTCAATTTCAATACTGATAATGATACTTTGGGTTTTAGGTATTTGCCAAAAGCAGACATTAAACAATTTTGTCGTAGTAAAATTGCCACGATATCGTCCTGGTCTCGTCACGATATTAAACTGTGTGTCTTTAGTAGCGGTTGTAACGATATCCAAGTCTCACGATACGATATTGTCACGGCATGAACCTGCGATATCGTGGGAAAGCTCACGATTAAGGATGTAACAATATCCAAATCTTTCAGTACGATATATTTTCATGATTTATTGCAATATTTTGTGGAGGCTAAACAGCTAAAACTGTGATTACACTACTTTTTCCTCTAAAATTGCCTTGACAAGACTTCAAATCCAAAGAACTAAGACTTAAAAGTGCTTAGAACTGTTATTTCTTCTTGTAGTCTGCACTGAAATGGAGCAAAGGATCATGGTCTATGTAGTTCTCTTTGTATTTCTTTAGCTACTGCTGCACCATAACTCTTAATTTAAGCAAAGAGACTTGTAATTCGATATATTGTGATGGTCCACGATATTATTGTGAGAACTTTGACGATACGATATCACAATATTTAGGTTATTGTTACACCCCTAGTCTTTAGGCAACCAGAATTAATACATAAGGTGCGCCGGATTATAAGGCGCACTGTTGATTTCTGAGAAAACTAAAGGATTTTAAGTGCGTCTTATAGTCCAAAAAATACAGTAGTCAAACAGTGTTCCCTGCTGTCTGCTAGGGGTGTGCAGAAATATCGATATATCGTATTGTTTAATGTGATGATACAGTTTTGGTATCATGGGCTGCTGTATCGATATGTTGCTCCATAGCATTTTTGGGGTATTTTACTAAATTATTTTGGAAGGAAACTCGACAAATTTGGCATTTTTACAGTTTTGAATATTAAAATGGGCGTGTTTCATATCACAGCCATGTTTTAGCAATTATTTTTCGATCTATTTGACATATATCGTATTAAATCATATCAAATTAAAAGTACACTGTATCGAGATATGTATTATATCATAGCTTATGTATCGAGATGTGTATCATATCGGTAACTTCTTAATGATACTCAGCCCTACTGTCTACAGCCAGACAAAGACTGATGCCGTACAGAGCCTTCAGCAGTCAGACGGCACTCACTTACCTCTGAAGAGCGACCCAGAGTTTTATTACAGTATCAATATCGGGCACATCTGTATCGATATATCACCAAGAGTATTTTTATGTTTATTTTTACTAAATTATTTTGTTACAGCTAGAGTTTTCTTGTTTGTTTAGAGGAAGGAAACTTGTTTATGCGACGAATTTGACATTTTCACTGTTTTGATGATTAAAATGTTTGTGTTTCATATGAACTTTGCACAACAAGTGATTTAACAAAGACTTTTAATATCACAGCCATGATTTAGCCTTTGTTTTTATGGAACTGTATCGAATTGATTTGAAATATATCGTATCGAACTGAAACTGCACTGTATCGAGATATGTATCATAACGGCAACTTCTCACCGATACCCAGCCCTAGTTGTTACTTGAATTTTGCACTTCAACTTCAACCTCTTTTCAAGGTGTTCAAAATGTCACTGATATGAATATGACAAAAAAGGTTTTACCAAATGATGGTCCAAGCATTTTATAATTAGTCAGTTTTATTATTATGTATAATATTGTAACATCGTGAGCTTTCCCACAATATCGCATTAAATATCGTACCGTGAGGTTCATACTGTGACAATATCATATCGACTTGATATTGTTACACCACTAATATGTAACTTTTTTGTCAAAATATACACTAAAATATAACTTTTTTCATTTAGATGTTTTTATCTGTCTAAATACTTGCTTGTTTCCATGGCAGTGTTGTTCCTTTGGTTATAATATTCCACAGTGTCTATGTCCACGGACAATGTTCTGAATTATAGTTTTAATTATTCTGTGAAATCATGTAGAAAGTTACACACTGTATTTTAACAATTACCAATGTGATAATAGTGTTTTATTCCCCGCAAAACACAGAAGACATATTAAAAAGTGAATCCAACATTAGTATTGAACTGTTATTTATCCTGCGAGTAACTACTGAACAGTTCTGAATAAAAGTTTAAACATTATGAGACTCTCTAAGCCTACATCAGTCGCTAAATAGAAATATTACATCAAAGTAAAGGCCCAAGCAGGAAATCAGCCGAACTGATCCATGGGTTTTAGGCAGAAGGATTCCTCCCTGATTTGAAGGATTAGGCATGGAAACAGTTCTCGGTAAATGGCAAAAACGCACTTGAAATCATTATATTGTATCTTTTGAATAGGAAAATTACCTCACAAAATGCTTAAAATCAAGAAGAAACCCAAATATTATGGAATCTGATCCAGCTAAAGTTTCTGTATCAGCTCTGATAACCACAAGCGTTTACAGATCTATAGATTAAAAAAAACCAAGGTGTTCACCGACTGAATCTCTCTTAAAATTCTATTAAATCTGTGTATCGTTTGTTAATTCAGTTTTCAAAATAAAACCAAAAATAAGAAAATGAAAAAACAACTATTTTCTTCATTATTTGTCTCCAAAACTAAAATGAAAAAACAATAATGGCCATTTCCTTTTTCCATGACTGCTGGACTTTTGCTCCGCATGTAGACTGAACCAGGACTAAAACAAGACTAAAACAGGACCAAAACAGGACCAAAACAGGACTAAACCAGGTCTAAACCAGATCTAAACCAGGACATGATCAGGACTGAGGCCAGGACCAGACCGAGACTGAGACCAGGACTGAGAACAGGACCAGACGAGGACTGGGACCAGGACCAGGACCAGGACTGAGACTGGAACTCAGACTGGGACAGAGACCAGGACCGAGACCTTGACTGAGACCGGGACCGGACTGGGACTGAACCAGGACTGAGACTGGGACTGAGACTGGTTCAGTCCCGGTTTATTCACGGTTTATTCACGGTTTATTCACGGTTCAGTCCTGTTTTAGTCTCGGTTCAGTCTCGGTTCAGTCCTGGTTCAGTCCCGGTTCAGTCCCGGTTCAGTCCCGGTTCAGTCCCGGTTCAGTCCCGGTTGTTCAGTCCGTTTATTCAGTCCCGGTTCAGTCCTGTTTTAGTCTCGGTTCAGTCCCGGTTCAGTCCCGGTTCAGTCCCGGTTTATTCACGGTTCAGTCCTGTTTTAGTCTCGGTTCAGTCCCGGTTCAGTCCTGTTTTAGTCTCGGTTCAGTCCTGTTTTAGTCCTGTTTTAGTCCTGATTCCATTATTCATTTAAACCAAAAATCAAAAACTGAAAAAACAAATCATTATCCGTTTCTTCATTTTGGTTTTGGAGACAAATAATGAAGAAAACAGTTGTTTTTTCGTTTTCTTATTTTTGTTTTTATTTTGAAAAACAAATGAACGAATGACACACAGATTCTATCAACTTCACAGCCATTTTGTTCCCAGTTAGTCGGTCTGTTCATTTAATTGTATTGTCATAGACCTGTTTTGCTAACAGCTGCTTTCTTCCTCTTTAGGACACCCGTCATGTCTGAAGTTCTCTCCAGATTTGACTTGTAACGTGAAGAGGCTCCGGTGGCAGTGCATCGAGTGCAAAACGTGCAGCTTGTGTCGAATCCAGGGCAAAAACGCGGTGAGTCTCATGGTTTAATCTTTTCACCGATGGTTTTGGTTTGAATAATAATAATAATAGTTATACCTCAGACTCATATAGCGCTTATTTGGACACTCAAAGACGCTTTACACACATATAGGAAGCAACAGAAAAAAAATTGTAGAAAATAGGGAAGGGACAAGACACAATTTCAACAAGACGAGAATGAGACAAGACAAGATTTTAACATAATTTCTAATATATACATTTCACGATTCAGTTTCCAATTTTGGCCTTACACTTTTTATTTATTTGATTTTGTATTTTTGTTTCCATTTTAGTGCTGCTTTTTGGAACTGTAAGTGATGTAACTCACCAACACATTATCTTTTTTTGTCAAACCAAAATATTGTCCAACACAAACACATGGTAAAAAAAATCTCACAAGATAATTTTTCTCACGGTTTGCACGATCTTGTGGCAATTTTGTCTCACGAGATCTTGTACCATCCCTAGTATGAAATATTGGTGGAAATCATGGGGGGAATGCCAGATTGAACAATTTGGACTGCAAATATTAACTAAACGTGACAAGTCGACTATAAAAAAAAAAATCATAGTCATATTTTGATCATCTCAGTTGTTATTTGGACTTTTTTGGAAAAGGAACGCACCATCCAGGTTTTTCGTTGATATCGATACTTTGACTTGAAAAAGGACTTTATTTCCATCAAAACACAGTTCACTTACTACAAAATTGATGCAATTGTGTTATTTATTTAGGAAGTAATTGCCGAACAGCTTTGTATGAATAAAAGTTCAAACGTTATCAGATGTTCTAGGCCAAAATCGGTCGACTGAATGGGCCCGTCACAATAACAAACACTGCTGAATTAAATATAGACACTACACGAAAATGTTGAAGCTTATTTATGCCACTGGCACAATAACCCAAGAGCAGATTTAAACCACAAAATCTATTCTAAATGTACACTATTGTTAGAAAATAATGAGCTGCAAAAAATAAACAGCAGAATGAAACACTTTTGTACTTTTTTGTGTCTGTAATGAGTCACAGAAGTTAACACAACCTTTTATGGTTTAAATTTTATTGTATAGCCAGAAAATAACCAAACATTTCCATTATTGCAAATAAAAAGTACATATAATATAATATTGTTCCAGCTTTTATTTTGAATGATTAGTCGATATAATAATTACTAGGGATGTAACAGTAACCAAAATATCGTGATATCTTGTCGTCAAAAGTCTCAAAATAATATCGTGAACTGTCACAATATATCGAATTACAAGTTCCTTTGCTTAAATACATAGTTTTACAGTAGCAACAGCTTATAAACACTGGAACTACGTATCCCATGATTCATTTCAGTGCAGACAACATGAAGAAATATGTTTTGTACTTGAATTCTTATGGCGTAAATAATTCACACCAAAATCTTGTCAAGGTATTTTTAAAGCAAAAAGGTTTCTTATCTACAATTATATCAGCCTCTTTAAAATATCGCAGTAAATATCGTACCGTGAGATGCATATCGTGATAATATCGTGCTGAGAGATTTGGATATCGTTACATCGTTAGTAATTATCTTTACAAGCCTGTGGCAGAAAGGATATCATAGAACAATAACTGATCCAGCAAATTTTCCCGGCTCTAATAATCACTGTTCAATACCAGTATCGATACTGACAGAGGTGGGACCAAGTCATTGTTTTGCAGGTCTCAAGTAAGTCTCAAGTCTTTTACCTCAAGTCCAAGTCAAGTCCCAAGTCAAATACAGGCAAGTCCAAGTCGAGTCTCGAGTCAGTGACCCATAAGTCCCAGTCAAGTCCAAGTCTTCTGCTTTGAGCTTCAAGTCATTTCAAGTCTTTAAACCAAAGTACCATATATAGGTTAGGTTTTTGTAATATATATGAATTTTAAGATAAATTGTATTTATAAAGTCATAGTATATTTATATATGAGTATTTATAGAGTAAATAAGAGTTGTAGAAATGCAAACTTTTCCGTTTTAAATGTCTTGACAAGATCTAAGTGTGAATTATTACAGTGAGAAAAGAAAGAATTCAGATTTAGAAGCGCTTCTCAGGTCTTCTCAAGTCACAGAACACAAATCTGAGTCAAATCCCAAGTCACTGACCTTCAAGTCCAAGCCAAAGTCGAGTCCCAAGTCTTAGCCCATTTTATCAAGTCACGTCTCAAGTCCTAAAAATAGTGACTCAAGTCTGATTCGAGTCCAGGTCACGACTTGCAAGCCCCCACCTCTGGGTACTGGTATCGCTGCATCCCTAAAACACATGAAAACACCTTTTAATAACAATAACAGTGACATTATTAAATAAAACAAACAAAAAAACTTTCAGATTTTTTTTCTTTTTTGCAAATTTTCTCTATTTAGAAGGCTTCGGTCACCATATTTCAGCCTTAATTTCATTGATAATGTATTTAAAAAGTGTCAGTTAACTATAGAAATCATACTTTGTCTAGTCGACTTCTATAATAATCAATAGCTGCAGCCTAAGTTTTGATTTTGCAGCCTAAGAGGTAGATCAGCCTCTGTAGACTTCATAATAGTTTTGGTTTCTAACTCCTCTCCAGTGAACAATGGGGTTTACTTTTCTAAAGACTTGTGGCCCGTGGGGTTTAGACGGCGTTCCTTCTTCACATAAAACTCTCTGTGTAAAATAGAGCTTTCAGGCACAGTTTTCAGCTTGCGGTACATCAGAGACTCAGCTCCCACTCGCCTGTTTGAATATGTAGGCTTAAGGGCTGCCCACAGAACCCCATTTAAACAGGTCAGAAACACACTGCTATAAAGCCTCTAACAAGTTCATTGGTAACACTAATAAAGACACTACTCACTGCCTCAATAAAGCGTGGATAAAGACTTAAAGGTGCACTGTGTAACTTTTTGAATGGGAGTCCTTCAGCCTAACTACTCTGCCTGGAATGTCCCACAGTGTGACATTAAACAGCTCTACTTCACATTTATTCAATTACAGGTGGTTTTATGGCTCAAAAATGCCTCGAAGTCCAGAATTTTGGGCGTAGGACCTCATTTCCTAGTGAGCCAGAGTGTTGGAGACGTGTGGAGACACTTTTTTAAATATTCCATCCAGTCCTTGTATTTGCAGAGGTCGCTGGTGCTAGGCTAGTGCATGTCAATGGTCATAGTTATCCTGGAACTAAAAACAGTCTTACCCACTCCACAAAACACCCGAAGCAAATCTATTATTACACCAGACTGTCCTTGTAAATGTCTGTGTTGATAGAATCATTTTAGAAGTAAAACCAACCTTGCATTTGAAGGATTTATGTCTGAGCAGCAGCAGCGAGTTGTACTTCCTGATAGAAAGTTTGGCAGCGGCGGACTGATATATGAGAAAATAGTCCCTCAAAATGCGACGATTCATGCGGTGCAAGGTTAGTTTTATTTCAAACATTATTTTATCAACACAGACATTTATATTAACAGTCTGGCGTAATAATAGTTTTGTTTTGGGTGTTTTGTGGAGTGGGTAAGACTGTTTTTAGTGGCAGGATAACTATGGCCATTGACATGCACTAACCTAGCACCAGCGACCTCAGCAAATACAAGGACTGGATGGAATATTTAAAAAAGTGTCTCCACATGTCTCACTTTGGCTCACTAGGAAATGAGGTCCTACGTCCAAAATTCAGGACTGTCCCTTTAATACCATACTGTGAAACATCCCAGACAAAGCAATAAAACCTCCATAGAGGTAGACTCTGATCCTCTACCTGAATTTAAAAACTGCACATGGTGTAGCTACTAGGGTTGTCCAAAATATCAAAAATCAGATACTAACTGATACTAAAACTAGTATCAAATCAAGACACTCAGTTGAGCAGGTATCAATCCTAGAAAAATCACATTCACAGGGCAGAAATTAACCTTTCCTGAATAGTTTTAGAATAATACTGAGCATTTATAAGAGTACATAGACTAGAATATGCCCATGGACCACTATGGAACCTACCTAACCTAACCTACCTAAGACCACATGGTGATATAAAAGAAAGTACTATGATTTAATGTTGAAAATCACATTCTATTGTCTAAAGAAAGAGTGTTTTTTATCATCATTGTAGTATTGGTTAGTATCAAAATCGAGTTTAACAACACTATTTGTGTCTTCTTAGTGAGTCCACACTGCTGATCAATACAAGCTGAAGCCCTTTAATACTCTGTTGTTTAATAGATTCAAGACAAAGATTCAATATTTACTGTCAGTGTCATAAGAATCAACATTATTTAGTTACAAGAATCAAACTCTATGAATAAAATGTGAAAGACCCCATCCCACAAACACTATAAATAACTAATGTGTAAAAAACAACTGCACATTCTAACAGTCTTGCTCTGCAAAGTTAAACAATTTGGGTTTTAATTCACAGTTGATATAAGTTTAATGTTATCATGTCTGCTGGAACGTACATAAGTGCATATTTTCACTGCATTTTGTGTAAACTTTGAACTATTTTGAGCTACAGTGACATTTTATTATGTACATTATATTTCTATTATCTTATGTTGATGTTTGTTTTGATCATTTCAGGACGAGATGCTTTTCTGTGATTCGTGTGACCGAGGGTTCCACATGGAGTGCTGCGACCCTCCTCTTTCTCGAATGCCAAAAGGTGAGCGCCCCTGTCATCCAAACAAAATACTGTGAAAAAAAAAATGTTATTTGTGAGGAACAGGATGTAGAGAATCATTTTAGGAACTATTCCGGTACAGTATTCTTTAAGTGGTGGTGATTAGATTACATTTACTTCCAATATCGATTCTTTAAGTATCTGCAGATAACTGAAAAGAGCTATTTCCTTAAAATATCCTATCATATATATCTTCCTAAATGTGTTATGGACCGTATTTTTCGGACTATAAGGTGCACTGGATTATAAGGTGCATTAAGTGAAACAAACGGACGACGCTTGAGACTTTTTTATTTTTAAAATCACATGGCTAATTTGCATAAACTATAAGTGATCTGTCAAACTAAAGAACACGACTCAGTGGAATATATATGAAAATTGGTTTGAGTAGTAGTAGTAGTAGTAGTAGTAGTAGTAGTGTAGTAGTAGACAGAAAGTAATAGGTGGTGGTAGTAGTAGTAGTTGTAGGTAGTAGGTAGTAGTAGTAGTAGGTGGTGGTGGTAGCAGTAGTAGTAGTAGTAGTAGTAGTACTAGGTAAGTAGTAGTAAGTATTAGGTGGTGGTAGTAGTAGTAGGCAGTAGGTAGTTGTAGTAGTAGTAGTAGTAGTTATAGGTGGTATGTGGTGGTAGTAATAGCAGGTAGTGGAAGTAGAAGTAGTAGTACTAGGAAATAGTAGTAGTAGGTAGTAGGTGGTGGTAGTAATAGTAGGCAGTAGGTAGTAGTAGGTAGTAGGTGGTGGTACTAGTAGTAGTAGTAGTAGTAGTAGTAGTAGTAGTAGTAGTAGTAGTAGTAGTAGTAGTAGTAGTAGTAGTAGTAAGTAGTAGTAGTGTAGTAGTAGTGGTGGTGGTGGTAGTAGTAGTAGTAGTAGCAGGTAGTTAGTAGTAGTAGTTCTAGTAATAGTAGTAGTAGTAGTACTGGTAGTAGTGGGTAGCTGGTGGTAGTAGTAGTAGTAGTAGTAGTAGTAGTAGTAGTAGTAGTAGGTAGGTAGTAATAGTAGTGGTAGTAGGCAGCTGGTAGTAGTACTAGTTGTAGTAGGTAGTAGTGGTAGTAATAGTAGTAGTAGTAGTGTGGTAGGTAGTAGTAGTAGTAGTAGTAGGTAGGTAGTAGGTGGTAGTAGTAGTAGTAGTAGTAGTAGTAGTAACCAATGCCATACTCTGGACCATGGACCTAATTAAATATGTCACAAAATATATTATATCAGTTTTCTGTAACTAAATTCATGTTCAGAGTATCATTTCCATCGCTGCAATTACCCCCCCCCCCCCCCCCCCCTCCCCCCTCTCTCTCTCTCCCCCCCCCCCCCCCCCCCCCCCCCCCCCCCCCCCCTCTCTCTCTCTCCCCTCCCTCCCCCTCTCTCTCTCTCTCTCTCTCTCTCTCCCTCTCTCTCTCTCTCTCTCTCTCTCTCTCTCTCTCTCTCGCTGATTCCAATCCAACCCCCATTTGTAGCTGTCAGTAAAATCTATTGAGGCTTATTATAGGAGCTTTCCCCGTGTATCTGATGCTGCTGTGTCCCTGTGGGGTTCACTGTCTGTAGATTACACACTGGAGCTTTACTCGGGGGTTTACTCTGCTCACACACACACACACACACACACTCGCACACACACACTCATAAAAGTCACATTGCTTTCGCTACACAAGTCCATCGAGCCCATGTTTTTCTTATGGATTTTCACTTTGTGCGGCGTAATTGATTGTCATTGTGGAGCGGTCAGTGCCACAGTTAAAGGGGGATGTATCAAATGAATGTACACGGGCCTCCTCTCTCTCACTCTCTCACTCTCTCTATCCCTCTTTCTTCCTCTCTCTCTTCAGCCCGCCCTCTTTCATCTTCCTCTGCTCTTTCGCTGCTTCTCTACGCTCACTTTCCACCCTGTCTAATTCTGTCGTACCATCCTCCTTCCTATCTCGTTTCCTTTCTCACTCCCTCTTTCCTCGCATTCTACCACTTTTCCCTCTCTTTTTTCCTTCTCTCTCTCTTTAACTCCCCCTCTCTCTCCCTTCTCTTGCTTTCTCTCTCTCCGTCTTCTCTCTCTCTATCTCTTTCTTTTCCTCTCTGCCCCCTGCTCTTGCCCATGTCCCACCCTCTTTCCTCCATATCGTTCTTTCTCTCTCTCTCTCTCTCTCTCTGTTCTGTCTACCACTCTCTCTGTCTCTCTCTCTCTTTCCTCATACAATCCCCTTCTGCACTCCCCCATTCTTTCCCCTCTTGTTCTCTTTCTCTCTTCCTCTATCTTCCCTTTCTACCACTATTCCCGCTCTCTTTTTCCTTCTCTCTCTCTTTACCTCCCCCTCTCTCTCTCTTCTCTTGCTTTCTCTCTCTCCACCTTTTCTATCTCACCCTGTTTCATCTGTTTTCTCTCTCTCTTTTCGCCTCTGTCCCCTGCTCTTGCCCAGTTCCCACCCTGTCTCCTCCTTATCTTTCTTTTTTCTCTCTCTCCTTCCCTTCTCATGCTTTCTCTCTCTCCGCCTTCTCTCTCTCACCCTGTTTTATCTGTCTTTTCCCACTGTCTCTCTCTTTCCCACTCGGGCCCCCTTTTCTTGCCCATTTCCCACCCTTCCTCCTCCTTATCTTTCTTTCCCTCTCTCTCCCTCTCTATTCTGTCTACCTCTCTCTCTGTCTCTCTCTCTCCTCATACACTCCCCCCCTCTACTCTTCCACTCTTTCCCCTTTCTTTCTCTCTCCTCTCTCTCTTTCCCTCCCCCTGTTCCCTGCTCTCACCCATTTTCCAACTCTTTCTCCTCCTCATCTTTCCTCCTTCTCTCTCTTTCTCTCTCTTGCTTTCCCACTCTGTCCCCTGCTCTTGCCCATTTCCCACCCTCTCTTCTCCTTATCTTTCTCTCCCTCTATTTTCTCTTCCTCTCTCTCTATCTCACTCCTCTTCCTCTCACCCTCTGTACTCCCCCCACTCTTTCCCCTCTCTCTCTCTCTTCTCCCTTCCCCCCTCCTCTTCGTGTCCTGTTCTTGACTGTGCCCTGTGTTTTTGGACGTCCTCCAGGTACTTGGATGTGCCAGGTGTGCAGGCCCAAAGAGAACGGGAAGAAGCTGCTCCAGCAGAAAGCTCATCAGATCAAGAGACGATACGCAAAGCCCATCGGACGGCCCCGGAACAAACTCAAACAGAGAATGTGAGTCACGCAAACACGTCACTCTTTCATTATTACTGTCATTATTATGGATTAAAGTTAATCATGAAAAACAAAATAAAGTAGCATTTCCAGAGGAAGGAAGAGTAAAATTATTAACATAGATAATAGTAGTAGTAGGTAGTAGGTATTAGGTAGCAGGTGGTAGTAGTAGTAGTAGTAGTGGTAATAGTAGTAGTAGTAGTGGTAGAAGTAGTAGCAGTAGGTGGTAGTAATAGTAGTAGTAGTAGTAGGTAGTAGTAAGTAGCTGGTAGCAATAATAGTAGTAGGTATTATAGTAGTAATAGTTGATTAGCAGAGGAAGTAGTAGTAGTATGCAGTAGTAGGTAGTGGTAAAAATAGTAGTAGTAGTTGTAGTAGTAGGTAGTGTGAAGTTGTAGTTGAAGTTGTAGTAGTAGGTAGTGTGAAGTTGTAGTAGGTAGTGTGAAGTTGTAGTAGTAGCTGTTGTAGTAGGTAGTGTGAAGTTGTAGTAGTAGGCAGTGTGTAGTAGTAGTAGTTGTAGTTGTAGTAGTACGTAGTGTGTAGTAGTAGTAGTAGGTAGTGTGAAGTTGTAGTAGTAGGTAGTGTAGTAGTAGTAGTAGTTGTAGTTGTAGTAGTACGTAGTGTGTAGTAGTAGTAGTTGTAGTTGTAGTAGTAGGTAGTGTGAAGTTGTAGTAGTAGGTAGTAGTAGTAGTTGTAGTAGTAGTAGTAGGTAGTAGTAGTGGTAGTTGTAGTTGTCGTAGTAGGTAGTGTGAAGTTGTAGTAGTAGTAGTAGTAGTAGTTGTAGTAGTAGTAGTAGTAGTAGTAGTAGTAGTGGTAGTTGTAGCTGTAGTAGTACGTAGTGTGTAGTAGTAGTAGTAGTTGTAGTTGTAGTAGTAGTAGTAGTGTAGTTAGTAGTAGTAGTAGTAGTAGTTGTAGTTGTAGTAGTAGTAGTAGTAGTAGTGTAGTTGTAGTAGTACGTAGTGTGTAGTAGTAGTAGTTGTAGTTGTAGTAGTAGGTAGTGTGAAGTTGTAGTAGTAGGTAGTAGTAGTAGTAGTGTAGTAGTAGTAGTAGTAGTAGTAGTAGGTAGTAGTGTAGCTGTAGTAGTAGGTAGTAGTAGTAGTAGTTGTAGTAGTAGTAGTAGTAGTAGTAGTAGTAGTAGTAGTAGTAAAGTAGTAGTAGTAGGTAGTAGTAGTAAGTAGTAGTAGTAGTAGTAGTAGTAGTAGTAGTAGTAGTAGTAGTAGTAGTGTAGTAGTAGTAGTAGTAGTAGTAGTAGTAGTAGTAGTAGTAGTGTAGTAGTAGTAGTAGTAGTAGTAGTAGTAGCTGGTAGTAGTAGTAGGCAGTAGGTAGTAGGTAGTAGATGGTAGTAGTAGTAGTAGTAGTAAAACTTGGGCAAATCAATGGGTTTGAATAAATCTGCTGGGACAGAAAACACAAGGCTCAAAACTGGGACTGTTCCAGGTAAATAGGGACTGACTGGTCTGGTCACATGACCATTGCTCTGTTAGCACTGTTAGCTCTGTTAAAATAAGGAAAGGCTTTAAATATGTCTGTATGTGTTGTACCAGTATAAGTTTCGTAGTTTGAGATGTACTTAAACTTGTGTGTCCCTCTCTTCTCCTCTAACTTCTTCTAACTTCGTCTTGTGTCTGTTGTGGCAGGTGTGTGAGTGGCGGTGGCAGCAGCTCGGCAGCACTGGCGGGCCGGGGGGCACCTGGTAGGGCTCAAAAGATTTCCGTCTGTTCCACAAATCCATCTGGTCATGCTGCATCTGTGACGGACACCAGGGGGCCTCGTTGTGCAGTCGAAATCACCTCCTCCTCTTCCTCCTCCTCCTCCTCCTCCTCCTCCTCTTCCTCCACCCCTCCCCCCCTCACCTCCACCTCAGCCGCACTCACCGTAAACAAGAAAACCAAAGGGCTAATCGACGGGCTTTCCAAATTTTTTACCCCCTCCCCCATTGGACGCCGCACGCGAGCTGTGTCTCTCGACCAGCCCCCAAAACTGTCCGCAGAAACGGCCACCCCGACCCCAGATTCGACCCAAACTACCCCGCCAGCTCTTCTTCCAGCCCCGCCCCCCTCGCTGCCAGGTCTTAGCCCAAACGTGCAAGTCTCAAACAGCTCCACTTCGGCTAACTCCCCCCAGAGTTCTTCCAGTCAGTCTAGCGTGCCCTCCCTAACTAGCTTGTGCACTAACAGCCACGTTAAAGGCCTATTCGACGGACTCTCTCACATATTTACCACTCAGGGACAGTCACGGAAAAAGAGGCTTCCTTGCTACGCTCCGCCCAGACGTCATAAAACCCAAGTCGAGTCCAAAGCGGGGACACAGCGCCCCCCCAAGACCGATTGTAGTAACAGTAACAGCAATAGCAATAGCAACAGCAAGAGCAGGCTGCCAGGATGTCCCAGAGGATTTAAGATGGTCAGTCATTTCAAGCGTAACCCCTTCCTAAAAAAGCACAGGACTCTAGGCAGGCTGCGCTATAGGGTGAGCCCACACAAGGGGGCGCTGTCTCCAGGAAAGGCAGACTTGAAAGACGGACAAGATAAAGCAGAGAATAACCATGGTAAGCAAGGAGTTACCTGCACCGCGAGTCCTTATACCCTCTTATAGGCCTGTCACGATAACACATTAATTGAAAATATAACTTTAAACAATATTATTTAAGATATTTCACGCCATTGACAATAAAAAATAAACCAGTAAACACTTTTCTAAATGTAAAATATTGATATAACTTTAACTGGAATAAGAATTAAAGACATAAAGGTGCACTACGTCACTTTTCTTGTCTGCTTGTCTCCGTGGAGATGTTATTGCTTTGCTTGGAATGTTCATAGAATGGCATTTAACTTGTCTGTCTCCATGGAAACAAGCAGGGGACACCACCAGGCTCAAGTTACAGGTCAGATCTGCGTAGAGGCAAGCCCACTCCCAATAAGAATGTAGGATTTTTTGGAGTATTTTTGACCAATAAAAACGTAATTTAAAAAAAAATGCAGGGTAGATAAGTTTAATGCCATACTGTGGGACCTTGCAGACAAACAATAACATCTTCATGGGCAAAAACAGCCCCAAGAAAAGTTACGTAATGCACCTTTAAGTACTTACTTGCACAGTAACTCATAGATATCTAACTGATTCAATTTCATTTTCTAAGTCTTTTAAGTTTCCTAACTAAATATGTATACCAAACAAAGCTTCATTTATTGATCCATAAGTCGGTGTAGTAATTATCGTGACAGGCCTGCCCTCTTAAGCTTCTTTTTCTTTTGTTTTGGTTGATTTCTTCGTAGACTAGAGCTAACCCAGTTTATACTAATCCTTCATTTAGTTTCCTAACCCAGTTTCGTTGCGTTTGGACTTTTTGGCTGCGATCTTTTCACGTAGCTTTGGCATTCCTTCGCCGCTCGATGGCTTCTGTCCCTCTGCATGGCCCCTCTAACCTCCTCATGTGGCTCCAAAAGACGGGAAATACTCTGGACCCAGGACGACATTATAAACTGTGTAACAGATAGTGATTAGCGTATGTGAGGTTGTCAAATTGTAGCTTTAATTTGTTGCTATAGTGATGCTTTTGGTAGTGCATCTTTCTAAACCAAAATGACTTAAAAACTCTATTTCTTAGTCATTTAAAATTATGCAATTGTCAATTTATAGAGATAATTAAAACAATGAAATTTGTAATTAAAAAACAACATTTATCCAGGTTTATAATGTTCTAAACCCTGGTAAAAACAAATTGAGAGTATTAAGATGTATTAAGAGGTAATGTAGTAAGTTAAACAATCTAGGCAGTAGTAGTAGTAGTAGTAGTAGGTAGCTGGTAGTAGTAGTAGTAGTAGTAGTAGTAGTAGTAGTAGTAGTAGTAGTAGTAGTAGTAGTAGTAGTAGTAGTAGTAGTAGTAGTAGCTGGTAGTTGTAGTAGTAATAAGTAGGTAGTAGTAATAGTAGTAGTAGTAGTAGTAGTAGTAGTAGGTAGCTGGTAGTTGTAGTAGTAATAGGTAGTTAGTCGTAATAGTAGTAGTAGTAGTAGTAGCTGGTAGTTGTAGTAGTAATAAGTAGGTAGTAAGTAGTAGTAGTAGTAGTAGTAGTAGTGTAGTAGTAGTAGTAGTAGTAGTAGTAGTAGTAGTAGGTAGCTGGTAGTTGTAGTAGTAATAAGTAGGTAGTAATAGTAGTAGTAGTAGTAGTAGTAGTAGGTAGCTGGTAGTTGTAGTAGTAATAGGTAGGAAGGTAGGTAGTAGTAGTGTAGTAGTAGTTGTAGTAGGTAGCTGGTAGTAGTAGTAGTAGTAGTAGTAGTAGTAGTAGTAGGTAGTTAGTAGTAGTAGTAGTAGTAGTAGTAGTAGTAGGTAGTAGTAGTAGTAGTAGTAGTAGTTGTAGTAGTAGTGGTGGTGGTAGTAGTAGGTAGTTAGTAGAAGTAGGTAGCTGGTAGTAGTGTAGTAATAGTAATAGGTAGTTAATGGTAGTGGTAGTAGTAGGTAGCTGGTAGTAGTAGTAGTAGTAGTAGTAGTAATAGTTGGTATAATGTAATATATGTGACAAAAGTATTGGTTCAAACGTTGTACGATCAAATATCAATATTATGTAATGTATATATCTAGTGACCTTGACTGGCCTCTGTGGTTCCTGGGTCCACTTGGTTCCTGTCTTTGGCCCCTCCCCTTGCCCTCTCCTTGACCTTTGACCCTGCTTGTGGGTGGGACAGCATTCTCCACCCTCCCCTCCCCCTCTGTCCCCTCTCCTCAACGCTTCATCACTCCACAACACTCCACGACACTCCACAACACTCCACGACACTCCACGACACTCCACGACACTCCACGACACTCCACGACACTCCACGACACTCCACACACTCCACGACACTCCACGACACTCCACGACACTCCACGACACTCCACGACACTCCACGACACTCCACAACACTCCACATCACTCCACGACACTCCACGACACTCCACGACACTCCACGACACTCCACGACACTCCACGACACTCCACATCACTCCACGACACTCCACGACACTCCACGACACTCCACGACACTCCACATCACTCCACATCACTCCACGACACTCCACGACACTCCACGACACTTCCACGACACTCCACATCACTCCACATCCACTCCACGACACTCCACGACACTCCACGACACTCCACGACACTCCACGACACTCCACATCACTCCACGACACTCCACGACACTCCACGACACTCCACGACACTCCACGACACTCCACGACACTCCACGACACTCCACGACACTCCACGACACTCCACAACACTCCCACTGCACCGAAGACTCAGCCACTGTCTCCACCCGTCGACTCCAGCCACATAAAGACACAACAGCAGCTTCAGACGAGTCTCAGACACAATATGAGGTGGAAATAAAAGGATACTAGGCCGTTTCATATAAATACACGTAAAATTACTATATACAAAGTTTAAAAGTAATAGTTTTTGGGGCAGTTGCTTTAGTGTATAACATAGTAACATGTAATAGTGCGCTATAGACAGTGTTGGGGAGTAACAGATTACATGTACCGGAGTTACGTAATCAGAGTACAAATTATGAGTAACTGTATTCAGTTACAGTTACTGTTTCAGTGAGTGGTAATCGGATTACAGTTACTTTGTTGAAATAAATGGATTACACAGCGATATTTTCCTGTTTTCATATTTTGGGCTAAACCAGGACTAAACCAGGACTAAACCAGGACTAAACCAGGACTAAACCAGGACTAAACCAGGACTAAACCTTCAGGACTAAAATAAACTAAAACCAGGACTAAAATCAGGACTAAAATCAGGACTAAAATCCAGGACTAAAATCAGGTCTAAAACCAGGTCTAAAACCAGGTCTAAAACCAGGTCTAAAAACCAGGTCTAAAACCAGGACTAAAACCAGGACTAAAACCAGGACTAAAACCAGGACTAAAACAGGACTAAAACCAGGACTAAAACAGGACTAAAAACTAAAACCAGGACTAAACCAAGACAAAAAAACAGGACTAAACCAAGACTAAATCCAGGACTAAAACCAGGACAATATCAAGTAATCCAAAGTATTCAGATTACCTTGCTCACTTTAAGTAACTTTAATGGATTACGTTACAAACTACCTTCTGGTGTATGTAATCTGTAATCTGTAGGGGAATACATTTTTAAAGTCACCTTCCCAGCACTGACTATAGATGCAGTGTGATTGTTTACTGAATTGTTTAGGAAGGTTTTTCTGTATTTATTAGCTATACTTTTTACTGCTCTGCATAATTACACTATAATAAGGAAAGATAATCTACATCGAAAATATTTTTAGACACCCACAACCCTGTTTTTAGAGCAGTGTAATCTATTTTGTGAATGCCACTATTGCATTAAAGTATTAAAATGTGGCTTTATGCAGTGATTATTGAACCCTAATATATCAGGGCTCTATAATAAGGCTATATTTCTACAAATTAATTAAAGTTATGACAGTAGCAGTTTAGAAATAGTAGTAAAAGTTGTAGTAGAGCCTGTACAGTCAGTAGAAGACAGAGGTGGGGACTTGCGAGTCGTGACTTGGACTTGAGCTAGAATTGAGTCACTATTTTTAGGACTTGAGACTTGACTTGATAAAAATGGACTAAGACTTGGGACTCGACTTGGACTTGAAGGTCAGTGACTTTGGACTTGACTCGGACTTGAGGCCAGTGACTTGAGAAGACTTGAGAAGCACTTTTAAATCTAAATTCTGTCTGTTCTGACCGTAATGATTCACCCGAAGATCTTGTCAAGACATTTAAAAACAACAACACAAAAAAAAACAAATTTCTACAACAGTTACATACTCTAAATTGTACTTAAAAATCATAGTAAATTTATATATGAGTATTTATAGTTTAAAAATCATAAAATTACAAAAACCAAAGCAATATTTGGTACTTAAGACTTAAAGACTTGAAATGACTTGACGCTCAAAGCACTTGGACTTGACTTGGACTTATGGGGCAGTGACTCGAGACTCGACTTGGACTTGCCTGTATTTGACTTGGGACTTGACTCGGCCTTGGGACTTACTTGAGACTTGGAAAACAACAAACTTGGTCCCACCTCTGGCAGAAGTGTAGAAGCACAGTTAAACTATAGTTCTCACTGAAATATTAGCAGTAATTTCTTTCTTCTGTTTCTTTTCTCAGTGATAATGATAATTTTAAAAGCAAGAACAGACATTTTCAACCCAAAATAACTTTTTTTGTTAACATATGGTCTTGTACTAACTCTGACAAAAATCAAATCTGTTCAGGAAAGGTCCAATTATGTGATTTTTCTACTGACTTTACTCAGTTTTAATATCAATTAGTATCTGATTTACAGTGTTGGGGAGTAACAGATTACATGTACCAGAGTTACGTAATCAGAGTACAAATTATGAGTAACTGTATCCGGTTACAGTTACTGTTTCAGTGAGTAATAATCGGATTACAGTTACTTTGTTGAAATTAATGGATTACACGTATTTTCCTGTTTTCACATTTTGGGCTAAACCAGGACTAAAACCAGGGCTAAAACCAGGACT